TCACCATTGTTCTCCGCTCTTACTGGGGTCAAAATGAAAACGTAAAAGCACTTAATGAAACCTATTTTTCCTGCAGGCTTTACACTTGAAAAGTGCCAGTACACGTTTTACGTTCTGGGAAGGAACAATACGGTGTGATTAAATACTGGCCCATTTCAATCCCTGATTTACACAAATACCATCTTCTCTCCTTATGTATTCCTTATGTATATATTTTTATGTATTTCACCTGGCTTCCGCACTTAGCCAAAGAATAAATGTAAAATCAGCCACATAACTTTGCTTCATACTGTTTTGCCGCTACCTCTCTCTTGCATGTCCGAGGGGAGATATGATTACTCGGGGCACAATCTTCCTCTCTCTCCGAAGCCTCACTCCTTGTTAGGGCCCTGGGGCTAACTAAGCAGAAGGCTGAGACACAAACCTCTGCAGGAGGAAAAGCAGCCAGATTCTTAGAATACCACTGAACTGATATCACCACCCCCTGCATTGAAATCTGCTTTTTTCCTAACATTAGAAGTTGATGATTAAACTGTCTTAGTCACCACACAAGGTAATGCAAACAATAAAGCACTTTCCATTCATAGCTGTGCTTTCAAAACCCAAGGTGAAGTTGGATATTGCCTGAGAGATCAGGCAGCTCAACAAATAAGGAGCATATTTTGTTTCTCTTGGCCGAATTGTAGCAGTGCAAAGTTCTGGAAAAGGTTATGATGTTGGCGGTTTCAAACTGACCCAGCCCTTTCTAAAGGTTTTAATATGGATTTAAGATTCTGTTCCTTGCATATATTTTATTCTTTGGGTGGAAGAATAGGACAGGGATTTCTAATCTTTTAAAACAGAGCTATCAGATGAACACAACTTAAAAAGAAAACGTCTCTTGCAGCAAAATGGGGATTGGGGACAGATGAAAAAACGTGCAGATTCACTTACCAGAGAAAAATTAATAATTATCACACTTTTCCTTTTAATCTCTCTATGTTGAAAAGCAAACAGAGCCTGTTATTTTCACACATCAGAATTTGTTTTTATTGCAGCTACCAACAACAGTTGTTGATGGAAGGGGGGGGGGGCAAAAAAAGGTAACTTTAAAAGCATTCCTTCTTAAGGAACTACATAAAAGTTACCAGGGCATAAAACTGGAATTATGGCCTGGCATAAACTCTACCTTCAGACTTTCGATAGTAAAATTTAATGAGTGCAATACATCTGCATCCTAAATCAACAGAAACCAGTCCCTTTGTTTTCACTTACTTGGAAAAACAGAAGAACCGTAACATAGCTGTGCTCGTGTCTTCTGCCATATGGAAGTGAAGGAACTTCCTAATTTCAGAACATTAGGATTGTATAACCACACATAGGCAGGAATCTGCATCTGTTGCCCTAACACAAAGACAGCAGGTAAGACCCTGACCCCTTCTTCCAGCCATTCAAGATAGCATGCTGCTGAGCCACGTACTACGGAGCTCACCAATCTCTGTGGCTGCATGCACCAGTAAAAGCTTCTATCACAGAAATATGGTGAAAGCACACGCTCTTCAGATATACTATTTTCCCCGTAGAGACCCTGTTCCGGCAAAAGGCAACACCAAAGAAAGTCACTTTGGTCAGCGCTGAGCACAACTATTCTTTCCCACCGCGCTGCGAGCCATCTTGGAAGGGGCAGAGCAGCAGATCTGCAGCATTTGCATGGCTGAATTGTTGCCCTCCTTAATCCACTACCTCTTCACACTAGGGTGTGGAAATCCTCCTGTAATCTTGGAGGAGGTAGGACTTGCGTATCTCCTGAATGCACATATTTTTTCCAATACCTTGCTGACATGAAAAGAACAACACTGTGTCAAGGGGAAGAGCTAAAGCACATATAAACGCAGTAAACTGCAGAATCTCTATCAGGAAAGAGAGCAGTTCAAAGTATCCCTCCAGACTCGGACTTTTGACTCCAGAAGTATAGATCCTCCTTTACTTTTGTGTTACCCTACTTTTCAAGTGCACACAGTGAGCTGCGCGCCTTCACCTCATTAGCTCCGTCCCACTGCTCTGCGCGCCCTGTGCCCCAGCCCGCTCCCCACTGATTTTCAGCTTGACACTGCAGGCGACTCTCCGGTGGGAGAGCTGGCAGTGGAGTGGCACCACCTTTCGGGGGTTGCTCCTTTGCACCTGTGCTGCAAACAGGGATTGCACAGGCGCAAGCACATGGACAGAGGCATGGTTCCCTACTCAGAATTTGGGAGAGCCGCACACGTGTTCGTGGGAAAACCGAGGTTTAAGTCTCAGAGCAGAAAGGCAGAGGATCCTTTGAGAATGCTGCAGCACAATGAATAAAGAAGACTTCATCACCCAGCTGCTCCCTGTTTGACTCTTCTCACACCTAGCTGAATGCATACACAGCGCCCTAAGGCAATTGTCTCCTCACCCTCAGGATGACACCTGAGATCCACACTTGTCAGGGGATGAAGGCCCTGGAAATTCAACCCTTCCTAACCCAGAAAGCAGCTGCATTGCTCTGCAGGCTGCCTGCTAACCTTCATGTATGTGGAGGCAGGAATTGCACCGCTTTGCAAAGCTCTGTCACACTATGTTATTACGTTACAATGTGCAATCATCAGTTTGTTCAATTCCTTCTCGATTAAATTCAGCTTCATTAAACCTAAGTAATGACTCTGTTTGTTTTAATAGCAACCATATTTTCATTCTAAGTGTCTTACTGAATATTTTCTTCCCCTTTTAGACCTTGCCATGATCTCCGAGCAGATTCATGCCCCATTCCATTTTTCATTTTCCTTCTCATTCTTTTTCTTTCCATGCAGGCAGCTTCCTCCCTACGAACTTTGTTGAAGCATCTCTCTGGTTTCTGCCTTTCAGTATCTCCAGGGGTCTGATTGTGCATGCAGCCCTTGAAGCTGAATCAAACAGGCACCTTTGTCCTGAGATGATGGAAAGTTAGCTGCTTTGATTCCTGTTGCTATTGCGTGCAGCGGACAAAAGTGGTAATGCTTAAACAAATCAGACATTTTCCTGGTGATTGTATAGCTCTGTTCAGGTGCCATTTTTACACAAACATGATCTTTCTGCACAGACTACCTACTTCACCTAATTATCATTCCTCCAATATGACGATTGTCATTTCATTTTTAATATACAGCACACACAAACATGCTACAGTACAAAAGAGAGGGAAGAGACAACAGAGATGAAACCTACAGGTACCTAAAAAAGGCACAGGGACCTGGAGTAAAAGCAGCTGCAGCCCTCCTCACTCAGTCCACAGGCGTTCAGCACAAACCTACACCTGCAACGGCACCAGTGCAATTGTCTTTCACAGATTCCCGCACCCTCCGCACTCGTGCACGCCCTCCCTACGCACATCGCTTCAGGAACCCGGGTGACCCTTCACACACACATCCTGGGAGAAACGGCTGCTTTTAAATAGCTAAATGCTTTAGTAAGGAAGCATATTTTCAATGAACAGATTGCTGCGAGAACAGGAGAGCTTGCTGAAGTAACTAAAAACCAAAGGCACTGCAGTCTTGTATGCCATGTACTCAGGTATAAATAGGTGGAAGAAAGGAAGCTCTGGCCTCCTTTTCACTCCTTAGTGGATCTTTTCATTTCTGTTTCTCTTAGATAGTGTCCTTGAATTCCCCTTCCACGTGTGTTTGTACCATGGGAGAAAAGGAAAGCTTACTTTAAAGATAGTTTAAACGCTTTCTTTCTTTATTTTTTTTTAATGACACTTTGAGCCAATAGGGGTCTGCTTACTGTTTTCGATTGCATATATAATCTGAAGAGGATTAATGTAGTGCTGATTGCTAGGCTAAACTGGATCAAAAAAATGTTAGAGCATAACGTACCCTATTTAATGTTTAATAATAGCTGTAGTTCCTGAGTTATCATACTTCTGTTGTTTTAGGCTTTTTATTCATTTCAGTAGCAATATAATCATATGATGTTAAAATTGCTCCTACGTTACCCTGGATGACTTTCAGAAAAGCAGGAGCTTTATATAATAATATGTCAGGCTTCAAAGCAGAGAACTATAAAGACTTGAAGCAAATTTTGACCAGAGCTGAGAGGTCTGCAACAATGCGTAATTTC